CAGTACTCCAACTGCGGCCTGACCAGTGTCGCATACAGGGGGAGGATGACCTCCTTGGACCTGCTCACGATGCATCTGTGGATGCATGACAAGGTGTGGTTAGCCTTCCTGACCGCATCCCCACATTGGCAGCCCACGTTCATTTTGGAATCAATAATGACTCCAAGATCCTTTGCTGCCTCTGTGCTGATAAGAAGGGAGTTCCCCAGCCTGTAGGTCTGGTGCTGGTTCTTCCTCCCCAGGTGCAGTACCCTGCACTTGTCAGTATTGAAACACATCCTGTTCTCATCCGCCCACCCATGTAACCTGTCCAGATCTAGTTGCAGCCTGTCCCTCTCCTCCAGTGTGCCCACTTCTCCCCACATCTTAGTGTCATCCGTGAATCTGAACAAGGTGCTTTTCACCCCCTCGTCCAAGTCACTGATGAAGATGTTGAACAGTGCGGGCCTAGGGACCGAGCCCTGGGGGACCCCACTGTGCACATCCCTCCAGGTCAGAAAAGACCCATCCACCACCACTCTCTGGAAGCGGCCCTCCAGCAATTTGCAACCCATCTGACTGTGTAGGCACCAACGCCACAGTCCTCTAATTTTTTAATGAGAATGGGGTGAGAGACTGTGTCAAAGGCCTTCCTAAAGTCCAGAAAGACTATGTCCACCGTGACACCTGCGTCCAAGGATTTTGTGACCTGGTTGTAGAAGGCCACCAGGCTGGTCTGACAGGACCTGCCTCGAATGAACCCACGTTAGTTGACCCTAAGCATGATTTCCCCTGCTGGTCCCTCACAGATGTGCTTCTGGATAATTTTCTCATACAAGACTGGATACCACCTTAGGCAAGCATATTTGACAACTGTCACCTGTGTCTCTTTCATCATTGTATCATTGCAGTGTCATCTCTTAGTTTTCCATATATCCTTGCAAAAAGGCTCACAAGACCTTTATGGGACAAAGACTTCCTGTTTCAGTTAGGAAGTTGAGACAGAGTGGTATCAATGCCTTCTGAGATGCTGGATACTTACAGATCCACTTAACATCAACTAAAATAAAATAATGGATAATCCTTGCACAGGAAAACATTAAAAGAAAATGAATTGCATGGAACAATCTCTGCAAATATTCTGGCAAATGATTATACCAGAGTATGAAAACAGAAAATCTCCTTACATGTGGCACATGGCATCTTCAAAAAGGACCAGGTTCATGGCAGCATTGACTTCATTGTAGTTATCCAAAGCTTCTACAAGGATCTGGTTCAACGACTCCCAGGTCTGAATAGGCATGTATTTGGATTCCCCAATACCTTTTGCAAAATGGCAATACATGTTCATCTTCTTGGTCTGTTCTAGCATCTCCTCAGTCTCCTGCCAAGGAAATGCAAAAGAGAAGTTTCATAGTTTCTAGGGTCGGAAGGGACCTGAGAAGATCACCCAGTCCGACCCCCTGCCATGGCAGGAAAGAGTACTGGGGTCAAACGACCCCAGCAAGGTGTTCATCTAACCTCTTCTTAAAAACCCCCAGGGTAGGAGCCTGCACCACCTCCCTTGGAAGTTGGTTCCAGACCCTAGCCGCCCTGACCGTGAAATAGC